ACTGTGGCCAATACCTGTTGTATTCTTTTGCTGCATTGCTTGTGCCATCTGTTAGTAGATGCCTGTGTTAGGGATGTTAAGGACTAGTTGACTATCCGATAAGCAAATGCTTATCGGATAGTTAGTTGACTAATCAATTTCCCCCCCCTCCCTTGGTGCTTCTATCAGAGGCTGCAAAGAGGGGAAGGGAAGTTCTTCAAAGGGGCAGTAAGGCTTGTACAACTGAGCCAGGGATCAGCTGTGTGGCTGCTCCTTTGAAAACCCAGCTCAGTGGAGGCTCTTGTATATTTCAAAGGAGGAATGTGGAAGTATCTAGCCACTAGTCGATGGAAATTCCATTGACTACTCAACTAGTAAAATAACCAATTGATAACATTCCTATTATGTATCTATATGGCTTAACACAACAAGGGTGAATTGCCTGGTTGGCTGTAGGAAAAAGCATTTCAAATATGGTGAGGCTTGGAGTATGTCTGGGGTGGAGTGCTGGTCTCTTTGACTTCTGGGCAGTGAGTGTAAAATTGTGATCATAATAGTCACTGTTACAGGGAATGGGGCATTTTGAGACAGCTGCTGCAGTTGGAGGTGTTCAGGGACAGCTATTCTCATTGGGTTTGTCTGCACATGGTAGAAAAAGTAGATGTCCTACCAGTAAGCATATTTTCCCAGTGAAACTGGATACAAAAACATTAGTCAATTGGAAATTAATAAATTATAACTGCAACTTTAGTTTTCCAGTTGACATATAGTTATATTTTTTTTCAAATTTATTTCTACTGTGAAGTGAGGGTAGTGTGCAGCCCTGTATTTATACCCCAGGGGATATTAGTAAAAAGTTAATAGTAAATATTTATATTATGAAAGTATCCAAGAGGCCAAAGGAAGATTGAGACCCTGTTGTTCTGAAACTATAGAAAAATAGAAAAGAAACAGTCTCCGCCATTGAGCCTAAATCGGGTTGGCAATCTCTGGCACGAGTACCACAAGTGGCACCCAAGCCAATTTTTTTCTGGCACGCAGAGTTGGAGCGCAGTGTTAGTAAATCTAAGGCTGTGTGTACACTCCAGAGTTGTCAAATTATGTCAATGATCATAAAACACTGAAAGTACATTGCTTGTTTATGTTCACACAATGCTCCTTATGCCAGCAAAATACATCGTTAGTTGGTGCTTTATCAGGGACAGAGAAAGCAGTGCACCATGCAAATGGTGACCTCCTGCTTGAAGTTCTGGAAATGGAATGCAGATCCACCCCATGATGCAGTTTTATCTATTCCATTCACGGGCTTCTGAACTGAGACAAGAATTGCTTATGTGCCACATTGAATGACCCCAGTGATGCCTGCCTGAGTGTTAACTGTGGTCTGCAAAGGAGCCAATTGCCATTCTGTATGAATTTCTGTTGCAGCCACTCTGTACAGGTCACAAAGAATCACTATTTTTGTAATACTAACTTTTTATTAAAAGCAGTATGCAGATTAACATTTGTCACAAGGGACATGATTAAGATACTACCAAATTCACAGACATAAAAATGTCACAGACTGTGAAATCTGGTTCCTGCCTCTTCTGAAATTCGGGGGGGGAGGGGGAGGGTTTGTGTGTGATTTTTTTTTTTAAACCCTGTGCTATACTGATTTCCTGGGGAAGACTAGTGGCCCTCAGTCTGAGGATCCTGACTCAAAAGGGAGTTGTAGTGGGGTTCCGAAGTTATTTTAGGAGGGTTGCACTATTGCCATCCTTCTCTGCTGCCTTAAGAGCTGGGTAGCTGGAGAATGATGGCTGTTGGCTGGGCACTCAGCTTTGGAGGCCGGACGCCACCAGCAGCAGCATAGAAGGGTGGCATGGTATGTTACTGCCACCAATTACTTCTGTGCTGCTTTCTTTGAAGCTGAGCTGCTGGATAGTGCTGACTGAGGGCACTGCTCTGCAGCTAAGAGGGCAGAAGTGAGAGTGGCAATAACATATCATGCTATCCTTCTGTGCTGCTGCTGGCAGAGGCTGTGCCTGCAGAGCTGGATTTCTGGCCAGCAGCCACCACCCTCCAGCTGCCGAGCTCTGAAGGCAGCGCTGTTGCCAGAAGCAGTGCAGAAGTAAAGGTAGTCATACCATTGTATGCTAAAGACCTCAGGGCTATGGGCTGTAGAGTTTGAGGTTCCCATTCGGGTCCAGAATCAGCCACATGAGCTCCATATGGGTCAAGACAAATGCATAGCTGGGGTGTAGGACCCATGGCAAGCTGGAGATCTAGGACTGCTGCCCCACCTCGCAAATTCTAGGGCTACCACCTGGCTCCATATGGCAGGGAGTCTGGGGCAGTCTCAGCACTGGGATGCTAGCCAGCCTCACAAGCTCTGGGGCAGTTATCCAGCTTCCTGCAGCCAAGAGTCCACCCCATGGGTTTGGGTGTTGGGGGCTGCTGCCCAGCCCAATGAGCTCTGGGGCTACTCCCTAGCCCTGCACAGTGAGGGGTCTGGGCTAGTTGGGGGTCAGGGGCTGTCATCTGGCTCCACAGGGATGGGGATCCGAGGCTGTTGCCCACCCCCACAAAACTCCAGAGTCGGGCTGCCACCCGACCCTGCAGGGTGGGGAATCAGTCGGTGGCTACTAGCTGGCCCCACATGAGGAAATGTGTGTCTGGAGTCAGCGGACCAGGCAATCAATGCCCTGTCAGGGACCAAACAATCGACTAGTCATGCTCTTTCCCCCCTCTCCCCCCGGCTGCTTGCTTCCTCTATCAGAAAGAGGCAGCAATGGGAGAGAGAGGAGCAGGCGCTTCAAAGCGGCAGTGCTGTGTGGAGCCAGTAGCCAGGCTTCACGTGACACTACCACTTTGAAATGCTGCTTGCAGCCCAGGGCCAGCTAGGAGTCCTCAGCTGGCCTGGGCTGCACATGACATTTCAAAGCAGCAGCATCGAGTGGAGCCCGGAATCAGCTGAGGACTCTCTCACTGACCCCGGGCTCCACGCGGCACTGCTACTTTTAAATGCCACAGGGAGCCCAGAGCCAGTGGGTGACTGCTTGTGTCTCCCACTGGCCCTGTGCTCCCTCCAGCACTTTTGCCTTTGGGCTGTGTCTAGACTGGCCAGTTTTTCCAGAAAAACTTGCCAGCTGTCTACACTGGCCGCTTGAATTTCCGCAAAAGCACTGACTTCCTACTGTAAGAAATCAGTGCTTTTTGCGGAAATACTGTGGTGCTCCTGTTCGGCCAAAAGTCCCTTTTGCACAAAAGTTTTGCGCAAAAGGGCCAGTGTAGACAGCTCAGTTTTGTTTTCTGCAAAAAAGCCCCAGTCACGAAAATGGCGATTGGGGCTTTTTTGCGAAAAAGCGCGTCTAGATTGGCCACGGACACTTTTCCGCAAAAAGTGCTTTTATGGAAAAGCGTCCGTGCCAATCTAGATGCTCTGTTCCGAAAATGCTTTTAACGGAAAACTTTTCCGTTAAAAACATTTCTGGAAAATCATGCCAGTCTAGACATAGCCTTGGATTGTAGCAACAGCCCTGAGGTCAGGAGGAAGGAGGGGTAGAAATAATCATAGCAATAATAGGAGGAACAGGCATCAGAGGTCATGGCTGGACTCAAAGGGGTTCCGGCCTGCCTCCTAATCAGCAAAGTCTTTGTTTTGAAGTTACGCTTAAGTCCTAGTCTCTGCAATAACTCCTCCCTTTGGGTGCCAACTCTCCCATTTCTACCATGCCTGAACCCAGATCACTTCAGACTAGTGGGTGCTGGACATGGTGAAAAGGGTGTATACTATCCCCTTCCTTTCCTCCCCTCCCCCACCCTCCTTCTCCATCCCTCTTCAGGGACCCCTCTCATGAGCACCTGTTAAGACAGGTGTCATCACTCTTAAAACTGGGGGCAATGAAAGCCATGTTTGAGGTGTTCGGGGGAAAGGTTTTTATTCTCGGTATTTCCTCATTCCAAAATCCAAGGGAGATCTTCAACCCATTCTGGACCTCAGGAACCTCAATGCGTTCATAAAAAAAAGACAAGGTTCAGAATGGTCATGGTGGCTTCCATTATTCTCTCTCTAGAGAAAAGAGGCTAGTATGCTGCCCTCCTGAGATTCATCATAGAGCCAGATCATATTCAGTCCTTGTTCCTCCCTTTGGCCTCTCTATGGTGTCTCAGGGCTTCACAAAATGCATGGTGGCTGTATTGGCCTTCCTAAGGAGGCATAGGGT